TTTCTTGTCAATATCTCTGATTTGAAGTCCGTTGAATTTTGCATTGTCTTCTGCCTTCCTCCTTTTCATTTCTTCGTTGTAATTTTGGATAGCTATTCGGTGTTGTTCTTCTGTTTCCTCCCGACGGGCTTGATCATCGGATGATTCCGCTGGTTCTGCCATTGGGTATGCTAATTCGGTTCCTACCGGTGGGTTGATTACATCTTCAATGTCCACAGAAACTTTCGCGATGACTAATTTAAGACAGATCGGGTTAAGATTCCTACAATTAGTTGTAGGCTTTTATTTAAGACTAACTAAAAAGACTAAGGTAACAACGCTAAGGTTAAGAGATAATAAAAAGGTTGAATTAAGATTAAGTTTCGTTAGATTGGTTGCATATCAAAATTAGACAATGAACAATCTCTCTAGATCTACCAAAAGCCGTTGCGCTTTTGGCAGGTTTTTTAAATTAACATAGTCATAGGTCAGAGCTTAATATAACTTAGAGGTTATAATGTTAGCATAAAGTATCACCTTTGACATGTCCCCTATGGGAATCGAACCAAAGCCCTTGCATTTCCAACCCTATACAACTTTGTCACTGACGCTTACATTACCAATACTCTAGCTACTTAGAAAGCGGAAAACAGAACACTTTGATTTGTGAGTTAGATTTAAAAAGGTAGATTTGATTTACAACAAAATGATTGCTTTTATGAACACAAACATTAATCTTGAAGTTAAGAACTTCAGTTTAACTTATTCGGTTATAGTGGAACTTGTCGAAGCTGTTAGGCAGTTGGAATGATGACAGATGGAAAGTTTTTTGTAAAAAATCACGGACTGCCCGATGATTCTGTGTGTCAAAAATGTCCTTTCCTACTCTTTTTTGAAACGTGGTCAATAAACCTTACTTTCCAGCATTATAATTATATTAAAAGCGACTCTCTGTAGCTAAAGCTGCTCCTGAAAAATAACAGTATTTATCTCGAATGGATAAAATTACTGAAAAGGTTGATGGATGGAAGGCTAATGTATCGAATGATCGCTTTATTGATAGCTGAGGGATGGACCGATAGAGGGAGGGCTGGCTAGATTGATGCAAGGAAAGATGGATGGCTGGGTGGATAAAAAGGATGGATCGAGGGCTAGATAGAGGGATGACTGTATTAAGGTCTGGATAGAATGATAGATGGATGGAGAGAAAAGTGGAACAAATTTTGACTGAATTGATGGGTGGATCGTTAGAAGCTAGATAATTGTACCGACGGTATGCTGGAGGTGGGGAAAACGGCGGATGGAATTCTGGTTGGATGGATCGGAGATAATGACTTGATGTAAGGATGGTTGGATTGATGAACGATGGATACGAGGATGAAAGTATGCATGGCTGGCTGCAATGACGGAAGGCTGTGGTTAGATGGAGGGATGGAAAGCAGGCTGGTTGGATCGATGGGAGAGGAATGGCTGGATGTTTTGTTGGTTGAATGGATGGACGAATGATATATGGCTAGACATATAGATGGTTTGATGGATGAACAGATGGCTGGATAAATGGCTGGGTATAAGACTGGATGGTTGGATGGGTTGACGGATCAATTGATGGTTGGATTAACTGCCGAAGGGATGGTTTGATGGCTGGCTGGCTAGATTGATGTCAGGAGGGATAATTTAATGGATGGATGGTTGGATAGTCGTCTGGTTGAACAGCTGGTTTGATGGTTTGATTTATGGCTAGATGGGTAGATGCTTGCATGAATGGGTGTCTGGGTACCTGAAGAGATAGATGGCTTAATACATAATGGAGGGATGGACGATGGTTGCTAGATAGATACATGGCTAGATGGATGAGTGATAGATGATGGTTGGCTTGATGGATTGGTGGCAAGAAAGATGGATGCCTAGATAGATGGATGGCTTGATCGGTAGATGAATGGCTGAACGGATGAATGGTTGCACAATCGGAGCGAGTGTTTGAGGGATCGATGGTTGGATTGAGGGCTTGATATTTTGCTGGTTCGATACAAGAACGAATGGTAGATGGCTAGATAGATGGATGCTTTGCCTTGCACTACCCTACCCTGCCTTGCACGTTCTCTCCCTGCCCCGTCTTGCTTCTCCCTGCCCCCCTCGCCTTACCCTGTTTTCCTGTTTTGCGCTACCCGATCCTGCCTTGCCCCTCGCACTGCCCTGCCCTTCCTCGCTCTACCCACCAGACCTTGACTCACTTTGCTCAACCCAGGCCTTGCTCCTCGCCCTGTCTTGCACCGCCTTGTGCTTAATTACCCTGATTTGCCCCTCCTTGCCGTGTGCACACTTGCCTTGCGCTGCCCTACCCTTCCTTGCCGCTCCTTGACCTGCCTCGCCTTTCTCGCCCTGCCCTGCACTTCCTACCCTGCTTTGTCCTTCTCGTCCTGCTCTACCCAGGCTTTGCCCCCTCCTCACTTTGCTCTGCACTGCCTTGCGTTACCCTAACTGGATTTACCCCTCTTCGCCCTGCGGTGCCCTACCCTACCTACCTTGCCATTCCTCTTCCTGCTCAGCCCTGCCTTGCGCTGCCCGACCTTGCGCTGAAATGTTTCCTAAGCACTGCAATATACGATACAACTTAAACGTGGAAAATTTCGTTCGTTTCAGAAAGCTTAAGCATGAGATATATGGTATAATTTAAACATGGGGAGATGGGTAGTCGCAATTAAAAATATGAAAAAATAATTGCGTAGCCGGCTACTGTGCAGTAGCACAAAGATCCGACCACATTCATAAACCTATATAAAAAAAATTATTCAAATCTGTGACAATTTAGTTCGTTTTGTGATGAGAGGAAAAGCAAAAACTAAGAAATTTAGTAGCTTCGTCATAATCTACTACAGTTGTCTTCAAAAACTTAAAAACTTCCAAACTAAGTTTTTCTAGAGGCACATTATCTAGCATTTTTTTCGTTCAAAAAGTTCAAATTACTGTTTCAATGGATTTAATATGATATATCACAGGACCTATTCTTATGATTACCTATGACAGCTGACTTTACGTGAAAAAGGAAAAAACTAAAAGACAAAGAGCGACAGAGTTCCACCGACAGTTCAGTGGTCGGAGCAAAAAGGAGTTCATGACCAAAATTTTTTTTTAAAAAATCACTCAAAATGATTGCAATGCTCTATTTTTTCAAAACTCCAGTGCAATTTCATTAATGAACGGGTTGAAAATTTTTTCAAAATATATGCTTGTACAAACTGATCAAATGAAAGCTAAATATAAGAGCAGTAACACCATTAACACCTTGTCAACAAAAAAGGTTTCAACCACTTAACTTGAACCAAAGGTGCGCTTCGAAAACAGAAGCTTCATGAAACGATTAGAATCTACACAAACAATTATGCAAAAATATTTTGAAATAATTCAACCAACTACAATAGAACAGATTTGGACGCCATGATAATTAACTTGAGCGCTCCCAGCCAAAAGGTAGTTGCCCAAAGGAGTAATCCGCTGCTGGTCGGAAAATACTACTTCCACAAATACCCTTGTGTCTCGAAAATTGTGACCCAGACACTTGTCCTGGAAAAAACTGTCGAAAATCCAAATTCTAGCGTCTTTATTTTAGATCCTGAATAGTCTTATCGATGGACATCCTTGGCAGAAATAAAAACAAATGAAATGCTAGTTTATGATTCATACACGTATATCAAACGTCGAGTTTCGGCAGATTCCTCTATTCCGCGACGAGGTGTTTTATCTGAACGCAATGCCCGTAAGCGCGCTTCGCAAGACAAAGTCACTATTACGAATGATCATACTCATTTTCTCTATCCAGTCGACATTTAAAAAGTTTTTATTGCAAAGCAATGTTTCAACAAATTCAATAAACTACTGATTTCACCGCTCCGCCAAACGCGATTTAAAAATTCAATTATATTTTTCTTGTAAATTTTGTCTTGCTTTGACTGTTCTCTGGTTATTTGGTACGCATAAAACTTAGTTTTAGAACAATCAAACAAACTCTGAACATCAAAGCATTTAAGATCAAAAGACCAAACCAAAGAAATTAATTTCGGACAATTTGTTTTGGACACATATGTCTGGTATAGTTTTATAACTTGGTCAGACAGTTTAGTCAAAAACACAGAAGTCTGGGAGACAAATGTCTTTGAGCAACTCTTGCAGTAACTGCCAAGCAGCAATGAATGAGTTTTAATCAAGCGGATAAAGCAATGGGGATTTACAAAGTTGTCACTTTTGAAAGTAAAAATAGATCTGATATTAGATCAGGAGCGTTGCTTGTGCAGAAAAAACGATAAGAGGAAATTTGATTACAGAAGTTCAGCCCAAAACCAAGACCTGAAAAATCAATCGGGTATTTTTTTGCTCGACATGCATACACAGGCTAAACGCCAGAAAAACTCTTAGGTCTACTTTAACGATACATCACTCGACCCATTCTGCTGATTATTCAAGCTACCTGATTTTGCGCGGAAAACAAAAAAGTAACAAAACTAAAACACACCCGATTACAAAGTTTCTCCTCATTTTTCAAATGGTTGGACGATGAGCTCTTAGAGGTAGATTCAGTTCAACAATTTTTATAGGAAAAAAAAATTTGCTCCATTGCCATAACCCTTGATAATCAACAAAATAAGCAGCCCTACTAAAAGGACTCTAATTGAAGATCCCACTCAACTCGGCCCAACTTACAGTTTTCGCTTTTCCCCGACAACCAATTCCTTTCATCAAAATTGGAGGATTTCAATGCACACTTTTTGACTTTCAATGTAGAACAAACTTTTTGACTTTCAATGTAGAACAAACTTTCGGATTTCAATGTACACTTTTTGACTTTTTCTATCACTTCATTACCCTTAAATTCAGAACATATCTTGTCAATAAGTATTGATTGATAAACTGTCTACGTATTTTTTTCTTGTTGTGTTTTTGGCATCTTTCAATGCTCCATTTTTAATTTAAAAATTGCAGGTGTCCTTGAAGTTATAAAGGCTCTAATAAAGGCTTCAGAAAAGATATTATTGTTGCAGAAACTTAATTCTTTGATCAACGTCAGAAAATGAACAAACAAGCTTCACTCTCGAGGATTTGAGTCTCTCAAAGATCTAAAGTCTCTCTCCTTTCAGAGCCCGCAATGCCTTCTCTCTTTTCGCGAGCATCACTTGGGTCTTCCTACTAAGAATACCCCCACCCTGCACATGCCAGTCCTCAGATCGTGCCTTGATTCCTTCCAAAATTGGTTTCAACTCGTTCGTTGTTGCTCCAGTCAACGCAAGACAAGCTGCATTTTTCCTGTGAATGTAAGTTCCAAGCTTGGCCTTTCCTTTTACTATCACGTAAGGAATGTCCATTTTTCTGCAAAGTCCCGGGAGCGTCAAAACAATTTCGATAGGCTGTACGTCATGAGCGATCACGACAAGCTTTGCCTTTTTCTTCTCGACGCATTTCACAACTTCCCTGACTCCAGCTCTCATTGACCTTGGCTTTTTCGTAGCTGTCTTATCGGTTGCCAATTTCTCCAGTTCTTCCTTCTTCTCCTTGTCAGTGGGCAACTTATGTTTCTCGAGGAGTTTGAACACTGCGTTGGAGAGTGACTTATCAGCGGTTCGCGAGAACTGAGCAATTGGAGCAGGGATCTTGATTCTCTTCGACAGAATTCGTTGTTTCCTCTGCAGGACAACGTATTTTGGCCATTTCATGAAACGTCTCAAGTTTCGTTTAGGCTGAATATCATTTCCGATTCCGAAGTTCTTAGGTTTGCGAACAGTCAGCCCAGCCCATGGCGTCTTCTTTTTAGGTTTCGTGACTCCAATGCCTTTACCTGATTTAGTCGCGACGGACTTGGGGACAACTTTCACTTTCTTATAAGGCATGTCAACTTATATCAACTGCAGATCTGAAAAGACAGTAAGAAATGAACATTTATAGTTTTTCTTCAGTAAAAACAGTGTCAATTAAATGGGGTCCATCTATTACGAGGTCAGTGCACACGTTTTCTAGGGCCACGCCAACGCTATATTACTATTCCAAGCAGCTAAAAACATACTCAATTTAATTAAAAATCTAGAAGCCATCAACTCTCAGCTGACTAGCTATTGACTTCAATCTTTGTACTGTAACATTCGTCTACTGCAGTCACACATGAGGCTTAAGAAAAATAGGCCCTATAACCACTGGCTCAAGGGTCAGGGACACCATCTCTTGTGTTTTTCTACCTCAAGAACGGTCGGAGCCAGTTCGGTTCGTTTGTGACATGAGACTACGACCCGTTACAGCTTAAAGGCTACTACTAAAATATCCCCCCACTCTAGAATTAGAAACGTCCCCATACTTAGGTCTCTAGATACCCAAAATACATGAACGCCGTTAAAAACCGGGTTGGAACAATCCGTTAAGTTACTTTTTATTAGACAGTGGAACTTTGATCCATTTCAGATGGATCAACCTAAAACTCGCCTTACCTCAACATAACAATTATAAAACACACTCTAGAAATTTAAATTAGTACTCACATTGTAGCACTCTCAAGAACCAGGAAGTAAATAAGTCGGTAAGCAACTCAAGAATCAATAAAGTAACTAAGATGAGTTTAATGTTAGTCAGTTTCAATAACAAAACAAGTTTTTTACTCTAGACTGTGAGTTCTCGTGAACCATTGGGACACTCTAGCTGTCCACCTTTCCACCTAAGGTTCACTCTGGTCCAGTTAATAATAGTACTCCAATCACAACAATCCAGTTCGTGGGAATGCGCTCGTCTCTGTTTTAGATGGGACAGCTCTACTCTCGATTATTATTGCTACTGAAATTGCGAATAGCAATTTCCCACTGATTTTTCTAGCAACTTTCCCGCGATTGTCACTCGATCGTTCTGACTTCTCTTTTCTGATTTTCAGTTATCGCGAGAAAATCGTGCATGACAGGTTCCATTCGAAATTTTGAAAAATTAAATTTCACTCCAAAATTAAGTGTTTCTTGCTTCTCTCAAGGTCAAACTTCCAAATATGACCGACTGGCACATACTCCCCGGACTCGAGATCGATGTCCTCATCGCGTGCTGTCTTCTGCCAGTGAGTCCCAGAAAACCGAGTGTTACTCAAGATACAGTGCCAGTGGTCATTTACAGAAGTTTGCAGCAGACTTAAGCTTATCTACACCCCAAAATTCACAGCCATGTAAAATTTTCACACTATCGCTAAACAGCAATCAAAATCTGCACACACCTGCACCCTTGAATTCTTGCTTTCCAAGCCAATCATTTAAAATTTCTTTTGTCCTATTCAATCAGGAAATTGTCATGCAGCATTTTGATTTATATAATAAATATAGTATATTAATAACAATATTTGCTTTGTTAAAACTTCTTTTTCGTGAATCCAAGTTTCACCCGGATCCACGCTCAAGCCCCCTTTCCCCTCTCAAGACTCAAGATCCATACGAGCCACCTACTCATCTCGCACTCTTCGCCTTGGAGGTACTACACCCTGAAGTACTAGATACGGCAAACTGTCTCAACAGTTCCTCTTCATCATCGGAGCTAATCACAATCTCCTCCCAAGCCTTCAGCTGTTCGTAGGATTGCATCCATTCTCTTTGCTCTTGCAACCTCTTTGCTTGGTTGGGTAGTGCCTTCACCCTAGATTCCCGGTTCAAACAAAAGGAGTTGTGCAGGCTCAAGCTCACGTTCTTCGCCAGGTCCTCCTCTAGTATCGATTCCCTCGCCTTGGTATTGTCTCTAGACATTTTACCCACTCTCTTCCATCCTGTCGTGATTGCATTACGATGGGTTAACAGGGGTCTCTTGAAAGCTTCCGGCCCAATCTCGGCCTGGAACTGTCGATACTCCTTTTGATGTTTTCTCATGTGATCTTTCGTTGTCATGTACAACCAGGACGTCAGCGTCGCCCGAAACCATGGGAAGTACCTCAAACGGCTCCAGACATGTCTGACTTCCGTTGGTATGGCGAATACCTTGCACGCAGTCTCAAACAACTCGAGTCTCCTACTGTAGTCTATCGCGTATATTGACTCAGCCGTTGGCGTCCCCGCTTCCCGATACTTCGTTATATTCTCTTCTATCCATCTCAGAGCCAACATCGTACTCACTACCAAGATCGTCACCTTTTGTCGGTGATCCGGTAGTCCGATCGACCGGATTTCTTCCATATCCCACACCAGGCAAAGGTTCTTGTGATCTGGATACCACACCGTTTGCGCTAAACAGTGGCATGGGCATTCTCCATGGGTGATTTTAATGCTCCTGAGGTTACGCTCCCCCGAGGCTTCCAAGAGAGGCTCAAGCTCCATCATTTTCTCATGCATCGTGTCGTTATCTTCCAGGTTTGGAGCACTTCCCACAGGTTTTCCGATCACGTTTTGTCTCTCGTGATCGCTTGTGTTCTCTCTCTCCAACTTCAAAAGTTCTTCTCCCCAGATTTCACTCAAGTCATCTCTCAATTCTTTTGGTACTGTCCCTCTGATTTTTCTCAACAACTTGTGCGAGTGATGCGATATCCGAGCCAACCTCACGCACTTGGGCACTGAGAAGGCCTTGTCCACCAGTACTCTCTGGCTGGATGCTTCCACCATCACCATGTGCAGTGGGTAGTGACTTCCGCACAAGTTGGCCATCATTGACCCTATCAGCGATTTCGCGTTCAATGGCAAGCCATAAGCTTCGCTCATGGGAAATCCCATTTCCGCCTCGAGACCAACCTTCCAGCTCCGGATGTGTTTTTGAGTCACCTGCAACACCCCGGGCCATGATTCTACGCTCAACGCCGTCACTAAATGATGTTCAGATTCTAGTCTTTCCAGTGACTGCAGACTACACATTCTCGAGAAGAATCCGAGAGCTGTCGCTATATTCACCGTGGTTCTCGCGTAACACTCCGCTACTATTTGCACTTCACTTTTCTCCCTTTCTGTTATGTCTTCGAACCAAGTGACCAGGTCTTCTTTTTGAAATGACAGTATTCTAACGCATGACCGTCCATCGCAGGTGTGCTCTCCGTTTCCACACGTCGAATCCAGACAGCTACCCGGCTCCAATTTCTTTGCTGACCCGGGATTACTAGTTTTTTCGCTTGGCTCTTGCATCTGAGGTGAAATTAGCTTATGCAGCACACTCAACTTTGCCAGATCTTCATCTTCCGTTGGTGCTTACCTCACTCGCTCGGTGGTTTCCTCGATCAGACTCGCGTGGGGATGTGGACACCAGGAGGGTCTTAATAGCTTCCATACCACTCCCAAGTTCGTGGTTAACAAGCCATTTCCATCGCCCATGTTCACTTCAACTCTCTTGTTTGAACGCGGTATGCTCACCACCTCTGGTGTTTTCTCAAGAATCAGGCCCAGGCTCGGCCCCTCTTTTTCCACCGCGTCTATTTCCATTATTCTTTCTGTCCAAAACTTCAGTAGCTCCGCTACCTCATGGTTCCTGTGGGCGCCTCCAGCTTCCGAGTCTAAGAAGGGGTTGTAGGCCATTCCCATCACTCCAGACACATATTGGTATTCCCCCTTCTCGCTGATTCTCGAGTACTGCTCTGACCAGGCCAGGTTACGGTGAACATCACGTTCTTCTTCGAACTTCTTATTATAAAACCTCCGTACCTCGTCTAGCTTCCTATGGTTCTCTAGGGATAGTCTGGAACCCTCTTCCTTTTCTATTCCTGTGCTCTGATACACGTTCAAGATGACCGTTGAGACTCTTTTTTCCATGGTTTTGCTTACGCTTGCTCTCTGTTGGCATGCCAGGATGGTGCTATCAGACATCATCGACATTATCCATCTCAAGAAACACGTGGCATCCTTTCTTCTGGCCAGGCTCAAGCCTGAGTTGTCCCTGGCTACGTGTTGCATCAGTGCCTGATACACATCTAGCTTCTTGCTTCCCAACTTCAGCCTGTCATACGAGGTCAGTGTTTCCAACTCTATCCCCACCAGACTCCAGGTGAACATTAATTGTCCTGCAGTTCTAACGAAGGGATTCGCCATTAATGGTGGTGCTGATGAGGGTGTCCTCATTGCTTCTTCAAAATGATCCTTCAACAAACTCTGCCAGGACCTCTTCAGATGAGTTGCCATTTCTATTTTATTAACCTCGGCCTTTTGCTGGGTGGCCCAATTGCGTCGCTTGCGAGCTACTCCACTGTCCAACTTCTTCCAGCAGTCCTCCATTTCTTTCAATGTTTCAAGGGCCACCCACCACGTCCGGGAGGTGTTCCTCGTCTTGTTCCTCTCCAATGGATCACTTGTCACTCGCTTGCCCGTGGCCTGGTGTGCCTTCGAGATCCATTCTTTGCCGACATCTACTTCCCATGTCTGTCCGTTCGTTGAACCTCTCTTCACGTTTATCTTCTGAGGCTTGAAGTCTTCCTCCGATGTCGAACTGGTGGAAACCTCTATTTCCCTCTCTACTTCAAGTGGTCTTCTGAGCTCCGAGCTGCTCTTGTATGCCGCCGTCTTGCATCGAGCCAAAACCATGGGCGCCGTCTCTCTCAAGTTTCCTTCCGAAACAGCATCCACTGAAGGACTACCCAATCCTTCCACTTCTCTCTTCCTCTTGCGAGTCTTCACATCTCTACTTGAGGGTGTTGTGGCTACCATCACTGATTCGACCTCTCCATCCACTCCTTCCAACTCTTGCCTCCCCCCTGCTCGAGCCTTAAGGATATTAGTACTTTTAATCATATTACTAGTCCCAACCTTATCCCTTTTTATATCATCAACCATTTTATCCACAGTTTTTTGTCTCCGAGTAGAGCTGTCCTCATATTTTTCTTCTCTAGTCTTCGATCGTGAATTCCTCAGCTCTACCAGCTTGCTCAGTAGCTCTTTTCTCGCCTTCTCATCCAGGCCCGTTCCTATCAGAAGCGGTTCTCCAAATCTTACGACTGTGT